TCAACGCCGGAGACCGGCGTTGACCGCCGGTCAACGCCGGAATCCGGAAAAAAAAAAAAAAAAAAAAAAAAATTAAAAAGTCAACGCCGGAGACCGGCGTTGACCGCCGGAATCCGGCGGGAAAAAAAAAGTTTTTGAAAAAAAAAAATTTGTGAAAAAAAAAAAGTTTTGGGTCAAAATTGAATAATTTGTGAAAGTTGGGGTCAAATTGAAGTTAAAGTAAGTTAAAGATGAAATTGGAGCATATTAAAGTAAGAGGGGTTATTTTAGTCCTTTACATAAATTTGGACCATGTGTGGACTTATTGGTAAAGGAGAATATTGTCTGGATCTCTTTATGAATAAGTTCCCACTGATGGGCTTATTTGTAATATGCCCCTTTATATATATAAAACCTTTTTTTTTGATAAAACAAAGCCCTCTTCTCCGGCGGTCAAAAAACTGAAAGAGAAACCCTAGAGGGAGTGTGTAAATGACAGACGAGCAACCGCAGATTATCCCGCATTTGCAACGACCTGAATCTCCTCAACGCCCCTCTAAACTGGCCAAATTCGACGGCGTAGATTTCTCCGGCGACGGCGAGGAAGAGGAGGAGGAGGAGGAAGCCGGAGAGTTCGCTGAAAAAAGTATGGTCCCGAATCCGAGAATTCAAAGATACCTAGTTGCGATTGAGTATTTAGGCACTCGATTTTCCGGCGCACAACAGCAGCCAACTGGTAGAACTGTTGTTGGTGTTCTCGAGGTGATTTTAATTTACCATTTTTCCCTAATTATTAGTTGTTAAGATTATTTGATTCCATAATGTTTATTCTAATTGCCTGTTTTTTTTTTTTTGTAGGACGCTTTTCAGAAATTTATTGGACAGCCTGTTTCGATTTTTTGCTCGAGCCGGACTGTGAGTTCTTCGATTCATTTTTTTTGTTGTTTTTTGATTTGAATCAGTTATGCGGTTTTTTTAATTGTTACTGCATTGTCGGATAATGTTTAGGATGCTGGTGTTCATGCACTGTCAAATGTATGCCATGTCGATATTGAGAGGACAAGCAAAAGAAAACCTGGTGAAGTGGTGAGTTAATTTTGTTTATATGGCTCTTCTTTTTTTTTTTTTAAATCATTATTAGAGTAATGATAAACTTCATGCATAAATGTAACACTAATTATAGAAAAAATGAGAAAAACTACTAGAAAAGTATAAGTAAGCTTGAACTGGAACTCGATTTAGGATCAATTGTAAATGAATCGAATCAAGCTCAATATTTTTATTCGAGCTTGAGCTGGAATAGGGTATATTGTAAATGAGGTTATTAGCCCATGCTCAGTATTTTTTAATCGAGCTCGAGTCTGAGCCTAAATTTATAAGCTCGATAATTCATTTTTTAACGCTGACAGTGATTTAAAGCTTGAAAACGTTTAAAAAAGCTCGAGCTCAATGTCCGATACCTTTGGAGCTCTAGAAAGAGCATGTCATTTTTGTCTGCTCTGATTACCAATTGATTTGTGGGGAATTTCATATGTAATTGTGTATATTAAGTTACTATGCTCTATTCTGGCATGCAGTTACCACCTCACGAACCTTCTGTTGTCAAAAGTGCTGTCAATCATTTTTTACAGGTACGCTTTCAGTAACTGGTGTATTTTTGGTTGATTTTATTTTCTAATAAACGAAAAACATGGTGCAAAATGATGGTCAATATAGTTTAGGAATAAGATTTCTATTTTGAAGTTACTCAAGAATGACATTCTTGCAGCACCTAAGAAGAACTAATAAGAATATATTGTATTTGTTATATACTCTTGGAACTTCTAGTAACGAACATGTAAAGTTGATTTCTGTTCAATTCCTGGAAATTATGTTTTCAAATCTCTCTATCCCTTGTTTAGCTTTGCTTACATTCTGGTTTCATGATGTCCCCCTAATTTGACGCATGTGTCAAACATATTCGTGTTGTTTGAGTGAGCCAGTGCATGTATTCGTAGAAATGCCGTTTATTCTTGTAATTTCTTTTTTTTTTTAAATATCAATTTGAGCAAATGATGCATATAGTTCGGCGATTTCAAATAATTTTGGGATTGACCGCTCGTTGAGATTTTATTTCCACATTTCCTGAGTTTCTTACTTGCTTCTTTCCTTTAAGGTATTATACCCATAAACTCTTATTACCTGATCAAAGGGTTTTCATGTGAGCAAATGTATTTGTAGTATGTATTTCATGTGATCAAGGAAATGTTCTGTGACAAGGATGTTCGTTTTTGTCATACAATAAAAACTGACTTGATCGGAAAAGATTATTGCCATCTTTTAATGGTTGTCATCATGTCATGTAATGCACGGGTCTGCCAAGATTTCACATCCTTTTCTTAAAAAAATAGAGTAATGTGGGTTAGCTTCTTTAAAACTGTTAGTCACTTTTCTTGGCTAAGTTGGTCTTTAACCTTGAAATACGTCGCAATCTAATTTTCTGATTTTGAGAAATTGGTGAAACATGTTCAGTTTGATTTCGCTGCAGAAGAATGAAGGTGATATGATGGTGATCGATGTGAAGTGTGTTCCTGCTGATTTTCATTCTCGATATAAAGCTCAGGAACGCACGTAGGTACTGCACTCTTGAGAATTTGGATGTTCATGTTCAATTCCAAAATCTCTCTTTTTTATTTATCTGATTTATTGTGCTAATCGATAGGATTTTACTTGTATAAGATCATCATTGCCAAAATTGGTAAATAACTTGATGGGATTATATCAAAGCTGCCATTCTTAGTTCACTTAGCTTGCATCGTATGTACGTAATGTTCTAAAGCAAATATAAATATTTAATCTAATGAAAGGGGAAGAATCTTTCGAAGTCATGTCAAAGTGTCTGGCTTGTTTGAATGAAATCCACCACTATCTGTTAGACCATCAACTTTCATTCGTCTTCTGATAATTAAGTTCAGTGCCAAATTACTGTCAACTTTGTTCACCCGAGCCTAAAATTTAGAAGTATTGTCTTGGCAATTTTGCTTTAGGTACTTCTACAGATTGTTATCCGGAATGGAGCCTTTGTCGACCTTTGAGAAAAACCGGGCTTGGCATGTACCTGAAGAACTTGATATTTTGTCTATGCAGGTTGACTAGCTAATATCACAAATTTTTTGTTCGAATTACAAATTCTTTTATTTTATATTTCCAACGACTGAAATGGGTTAATTAATGTTATTATTATTACCCAGAAAGCATGCCAAGTACTTATCGGGCGTCATGATTTTAGTTCTTTCAGAGCTTCTGCATGCCAGGTTTGTTATGTTTTCTGGATGACTAACTTTACGGAAATACTTTGACATATTTATCTTCTTGAATGTGCTTCTGCACTGTATATCTGCTGTAATTCAATTTTGTGGATTCTCACATATTACCTGGTTTGTGTATATTTCTATCGACTTTTAAAACTACCGGTACCTTTTTTATTGGTTGATAGGCTAAGTCACCCATCAAAACTCTGGATGAGTTAAGTGTTACTGAAGTTGCTTCAGGCACGTATTTCCCTTCACCAGCAGAGAGAAAACAAAGCAATTATACGACAGAAGGCTTGGTCTCAATCTCGAACAAGTCAGAAACTGATTCTGTTAATGGAAATTCAGTTGGAGAGGCTATTCAAGGATTTGGCATAAGGAAAAGGCACCGTTGCATTGTGGTTACTGCACGAGGACGCTCTTTCCTTTACCATCAGGTAATTTATACGTTTCTTAAATTGTTGTCCCATGTGCGTTCTTGCCCATTCACTTCATGTGTGCATTTAAATATCTGAATAATCGTACCTTGTTTGATTTCTTATTTGAATAGATGTTGATAGTTTTTTCCTATCTCTCGTCTGCAGAGTTTTTTGGAATTTTTATACATCCAAGGATGTCCCATTTTTTTGTATTAATTTACGGACTAATTTAATTTCTTATTTTAATTTGATTTTGATATCTTCCGTCCACTGACTTGTTTGGATTCTCTAACATACTATTTACACGAAATAGGACAACCTTGGATGAATTAGAGAGTCATATGCAGGCATCACCACTTTGTATTCCTTTGAATTGAATAAAAACTGGCTAAACACTTAAAAAATCACAATGTTTTAAATGTCAATCTGAGATTATATTTTTTTACATATCTGAGTTGATTTTAAATGCGTCTCACATATTCGATGATTTTGCAATTTTTTGGGCAGGTTAGATTGCTAGTCGGGGTTCTCAAATCGGTGGGCACTGGCGATCTTACAGTTTCTGATGGTATACCATGAAACACCTTGCAGTGTGTGTATGTGTGTGTGAATACTAAATTTATACTGAACCTGAATTAATAATACTCGTTTATTATGTTCGATTTCAGTTGAGCGAATACTTAAAGCAAAGGATATAAGAACTGCAAGTCCTATGGCACCTGCAGGCGGTCTCTACCTTGGACAAGTGAAATATGATCTTCCTTCAGATATATGATCTAACTTACTCTCTATGGTGAATTTTTCCGTCTCGATTTTTTGCAATTAAATGGTTTCTGGTGAGGAATTTGGAGCGAATTTCTAGCAATTAAATGAGCGAACTATTTATTGGTTCAAGAAATAGCCGAGGCGTAGAACTTTGGTGGTCATTTTGTTCTCGTTAAATTAAGATATTTAATAGACTGTAGGGGGATTTATTGTGTGTTCATTCATGGAACATAAGGTGTTGTTCATGTCCGATACTAGGGGTCGAAATTTGAACAATTTTTTTGAATCCCGAAAAATCTGAGTTCTGATTTTTTTCTTAATGGAATTGGAATACATGTTAGATTCCAATTTTCGATTCCATATTAATTTTCAAAAATATACTTAGAACATCAATGTTATTATGTGTTTCATTTCAATTCTTTTTGAAAATTCTGTTTTTAGATTTTTTTTTTGAATTTTCATTGGAAAGAGTGAAACTAGTTTCACTCCCTATTTTTTCTTTCCCAAAAGAGCTAATTTCGATAGTTTGTGGAGTCGGCTCAAATTATTTACACCCCTAAATTGTAGTAGTAAATAGCGATCCTAATTTTCTAATCGTGAAGAAATTAGGATTGGTATCAAATGAGTCCCTAAATTGGAAAAAGAAAAAGGGTTTACGACAACGATACACAACGTTTACAACTACGATATGCAGAAGTACATTTGATATGTTTACAAAAACGTTTCTTTTTACTTCAGAAAGCACGTAGTTTACACTCAACTATCTTAATTTTTCACTTTTCCTCGTCTTTTATATTGCTAAAGCTGGAGTTTCAAACAGTCAAATGGTCTGATAAGTCATGAGAAAAACTCCGATAAACGTTTAACTAATTGAATATTAAAAAAAAAATAAAAAAAATGTGTCCTACAATGGAATCGGGCCGGTTCTTGCAAGTTTTATGAATGCAGATCTTATGAGATGTAAGCCCACACTCACAATTCCATCATTACAACAGAACATCATTTTTGAAGTTAGTGCTAACAAATAGCCGAATCGTTATTTCTATGTCTCTTTAACCTACAACTGCTCTCAATACAAATATATCACTTCATAAACGAAGTAATAGCTGAATGAAACGAACTCCTGCGATTAGAGCATTGACTTTGACCAACCAATGAATGAGGCCCGTTCCACAAAGACTTGGAATTGTCTGCAAAGAGGGTCCCATATAACTCTAACAGCATCGGATTTTCCAGATAATGAAGATTCTCCATCATTTTTGCTCTCTGCTTCTTATTCAAAAACTCCTGCATTCATTAAACAAACCATGTTAAACACGATTAGAAACCAATTTTACATTTATTGAAAAAAGAAAGAAAGTTTAATAGTACCTTGGGCTTGTGTTGGTCACATGGGGTGGTGTTTTCTTCACCGTTGTGGTTCGGAGTTTCTTTCCGAGCCTCGTTCGATACGGTGCTGCCACCTGGCCCAATCATTTGTGGTGTCTGAAAATGCACAACGGCGTCATCTCCAGATCTATTATGAATCAACTGCAAATCTTGAGAACCCTCTCGTTTTCCTGCAACAGGGGTGGTGATGTCACCCTCGTTCTGCTGTGTGTAGAAGCTTCTGACATGTCCTAATTTCGCCTCGTGGCCTTTCCTATCCATTTCCGCATCTCCTCTGTCTGGGGAGTTCTCTATATTCGACGAAGCGTAGTCTCCAAAAGGGCTTTCTCCACGAGACATCCCCTATAGGAATATTGAAAATAAATTGTTGGCTTAACAAAAGAAAAAAAGTATGCTAGACCCCGTGTTCGTAAACTAGTGATTCTCAAAAAAAAAAAAAAAAAAAGAGAATGAGAGAGATATACATCTGGTTTAATATCTTCACCAAGAGAGTCATCACTCCCTTCAACTGGTCCTCCCATCAAACGAGCAATCTCTTCTCGCTCTTGCCTGCGTCGCATCATTACACATATAGCACACTGGCAGCCTTCCTTGTGCTTCTTTAGCCTGCAAAGATAATAAGGTAAGAAGGTCATACGAGAACCAACAAATATAAGGTATAAACGCATGCTCTTCTGAATAAGCAAATACAGATAGCAAAAAGGACGAAAAAACAAAGAAAGAAAAGCATAATGAAATGTTCATAGCTTCGGCTTGAACTAAATCTGTTTCCAGAGCAAAATAAGTAAGAGAAGGAATATCAAATCTTCGATCAAGGAAGTGAAAGGCTCGCTCCATTATTACATTTGTTCAAGTCTTTCATATTACAGTAGAAACAACTAGACTAAGAAGCAGGAGAAGGAAACATGTTAGAATCATGAGTGGGGGGACCGTTACACGCACGACAAGATTAGAACAGAAAAATCAAACCAACCATCTTCTTCCATAACTTGGAGATCTTACAGTTCTTTGAGTTATGAATATCACAGCTGATAACTACCATGTTTGCAACCAAATGATAATATTAAATAATTACAAGTAGCTATCCAAAAGCAATGCAGCAAACAATATGTACTGCAATTTAAAACAGAGTGAATAATTGACGAATACAAAAATAAATCTATTTACTAAAACATTCTTTTGTCAAGGGTTCAAGATTTCCACTCCTTTCACTTTTCATCCACAAATTCTGAGTTATTATGACTTGGGAAAATATTTTTAGTGCAGAAATAAAAAGGGATAACTGAATGATGTACCAAACTTGCAGTATCATACCCGTGGAACTTTTTGTTCGAAAGGGTCAAAGCAGCATCACTCACTGGTGTATTCCCATCACTTGGAGGAGTAAGATCCTTTACTGGATTGCTTTCAAGACCTGTAGAGCAAGAAATACCTGATAAAAAAGGGTGACTTGTCAGTAAAATAAACAAGGGATCCTATTCAAAGATTTTTTTTTTCATAAGGAGTCCCTCCATCCCAAAATTATAAAGCTAATGTCACCCGTAAAAAAATATTCAAATGAATTGAAAAGGTTTAAGTTCTATGTGTTCAACGATATTCGTCCATCAAAGTAGTGAGTAAGAAGTACTGGAAACAATAATCATTATTTTGATTAAGATTATAACTTCGAGAAACAAAACACTTTGCATTTGTGGAAACTGGAAACAAGTCTTATTCGGAACATCATAAAAGGAAAACAAGATTAGCAAAATTTAGTTCTCAATGTTACGAGTTTTAGTTCTTTAGTTCCAAAAACTTCAGATGGCTTATAGTTTACAATCATTCAATATGAGCAGGCATATTCTAGATTCCTTCTTAAGATCCAAGAGAACATTCTCCTAAAATTTCATGCTGAGAGTAAAAATTTAAATCAAGATTACCAAATCTAAACAAAGATGAATTGAAGAGCATAAACAGAAACATTACCATTACTCTCCTGAGGCTGATCGCCAAATAAACCAACAGCTGTCCAATACTTGATCAAGTTTTTCTTGACCCGTTTCATCAGCTCCACAATATAATCCCCTTTGTTATTGTACTTGTAACAGTTCTCCCATATATATTGCACATCTTTGAAAACATCCTCTGCATTCTTGTACTTTACACCCTTTTCAAGGTTACTGCAGATAGTACCAAAATCCATAGGCGTATCGATGACATCAAAATAGTCCTGTTACAATTCCAGATAACATCAAAACAGAAGTATTCGATTAAAAAATATAATACAATCAAGGCTTCTGATCAATAAATGAAATCTCTTTCAAATCAAGAGCACCACAGTAGTGAACTATACTGTAGCCAATCTCACAATGGCAACCAGCATACAACAATAATAAGCGTGAGCAAATCAAAAGTGAGAGTACAGGAAAAATTTAAGTACAGAGTGCGATGCTAATGGAGCAATAATACCAACCGGCAATCGTCATAAGTAAGGGGAAATAATCTTCACATTATTTTTTTTTGGCGGGAGTGAACAATGTGAAAGAACTTGATATTGAGATAAGTAACAAACCAATGATAGTACTGCATTTTTCACCATTACATAGACGAGTCCTATCGTTTGGCGGGAGTGAACAATGTGATAAGAACTTGATATTCAGATAAGTAACAACTCAATGACAGTACTGCATCTTTCACCATTACGTAAACTAGTTCCACAACAATTAAAACCTCCTCCCCCTCCACTTAAGAACCCTAAAGTACAAAACCTATGAGGCAAGTTTCCATAACGCAGTAACATGACTGTATCAAAAAACTGTGCTTACCGGAATTCCAAGAGCAACAGGATTTACAGGGGCATTGAAGGGTTCAGCTGCATCCATTTTCATAACCTTTCTTATCACCTTGGAGAAACAAAAATAAAAACAGGTAAGCAAAGGATGGTTATCAATTCTCGATAATATTGATTACAAAGCAAGTTATAGCAACGTTACCTCCAATGCAGTTTTCAGCTCTTGCTCATTGTACCTTGACTCCTGAGGAAGCGGTTGAATGTCTTTCTTCTCGATCCTATCTCCCTTGACCAGTTCAGTATTACTACACGGGCTCATACTCGAAGAACCTAATCCCCTAGATGTTTTAATCTTTATACCCAAAGACTTTTGCGATGTATTCCCGGATACACCTCCATCAGCCTCGGACAGAGAGTTGCCACTGTCCTCCATTTTCTCACTAGGACCTCCCTGTTTTTCGGAACCCACCTTATCAGTATCGCTTTGACTAGGAGCTTCTGAGGAAGTGCGTTGAGGTTCCAAATTTTTAGAAGTCTTGATCTTCACTTTTACACGTGTATATACTGCTTTCCCGAATGCATTAGTAATCGGTCGTGAAACAGGATCAGGATTAGCAGGTATTTCTGGTTGATTAGGTTTTGGAGGTGATGGTGTTTTCTCAGTCTCGGCATTCATTCCCGAGTCCATCTCTTCATTGTCAAACTCGTCCAAACCAGAGTTATCCTCTGTATTTACGCTAATAACATTTGATGGCACTTCGTTTGTGGGAGCCAACTTTGGCTTCTTTGCTTTTCCCTTCTTGTTTCCACGTCTTCGCTTCATTTAATCTTGTTTACCACTTACCCTTCCTCAATAAGCTCTCCAATGCAGACCAAAGCACAAGTGGTAATACTAATTTAATTTCGTCTCGGGAATATATTTCCAGCCTATGCGACATCAGATCAAAGGCAGAATATAAGAAGGAAGGGCATTAAAAAATTTATACGCAAACGCTGCCACTATGTCAAACACGCTATATGCAGAAAGTCATATCATTAGCTTTAATCATTAAACAAACTGCACTACTAGCTGCATTTGCATGAAAGGCTGTGTTGAATTTCAAATGTAAACGGCTTCCTAAACACATTATATTTTTCATTAACAAATAATTCATAGAACTAAGGGTGTCTCGGATATTTTTCGAACTTCTGCACAGAGATGAACATAATCTAGATTTACCATCTAGGGGAGTGCGAAAATTGTGAAATTTGAAAGTCCGATATTGCAGTTGAAATAGGAACTTCTTTTAACTCACGATCACCATTTATTTTAGACTCGAAAAGACACATCTGAATCCCCCAACAAACATATTGATAATCAAAAGCCGTGATTTTTAAATGAGATTTTCCACATTAACGAAGTTTCCTCCCTTCACTAGCAAATATGCATTCTGCAGCAATGTAGCAAATGAGCAGTAGAGTAATAGCAATTAACAGTTTCTTAAACATGATATTCTAATAATCAAAGCACTAAAAAGTTCAGCTTTGCTTCCGAATTCAATCCCAAAATCACGTAAAAGAAAATCCCCAAATTCATTTCGCATCCCAGACAAAATTTAAAACACAACCCAACAACAAGTAAAGCTTCAAAACAATTTCGAATCCAAAAATTCGAAAAATCCCATATTTCACACAAGAAACCCCCAAATCGCACCAATCAGAAACCCTAAAAGTAATATCCATCATCACAAAACCCACAGCTACTGCACCGCGGCCCGTTTCACAAACGAAATTTACGAGAAAAAGGAAATCAATTGCACATAAAACGCAAAACAAAAATCAGAGGCAAAGGAGAGAAGAATTGGTTCTCTGCAAAACAATCAGCGAAAACCAAAACAAACACGTTCGCATTAACAGAGATGATATAAGAGAGTGGGGATATCAGTATTCAGTACTGAGTGTGTGTTCGTGTATCTATATGTGTATCTATCTATACATACCTGTTTCGCGTATTTAATTATTCTCGATTTTTTTTTTGAATTTGAAACAATCTAAAGAATTTCTGATTTTCGTATATATTCTTTTTTTGTTTTTCTGTGGAGCCGCTATATAATGCTATTTCCACTCCCTTTCTGGACGAAAATGCCCTTTTAGGGGCCGCGGGTGTTCCCAGTGGAATTAAAGGAGAAAATTGGAATTACACTTTTGAATTCGGCGAAATTTAATATGAATTATTTTTAAGTATAAATTACATCTACAACCCTTAAGTATGTTAAAATAATTTTAAGGTCTCTGGTGTATCAATAATTACAATCACGAATGAAACATTGTAATTAGAAACCATAACAAAATAATTCATTGGATAAGTTATTTTGTTGGAGTTCTAACGGACTATTAGTTTCAGGCAGTATTGGGGACAACATAGAGCTAGGAGGTAACAACACTCTCCCAATATTTATTTTATATAATATTTATAAATTTCTGTCTGTGGTAACATTAACGGGTACAAATATAGTGCATATTGGTCCCTAACAGGGGCGGACCCAAGGTATACCTTGGGGGGCCTCCGCCCCTGCAGGAAAAAAAATTTTTACCTGCTTTTTATTAAATTTTTAATATTTTGTGTTATTTATTTATTAATTTATACCATTTAGCCCCCCCAAACTTCAAATTTAGTATTATTTTAGTCCAAAAAAAAAATTCTAGCCCCCCCAACCAATACTCCCTGGGTCCGCCCCTGGTCCCTAAGATATGAAATCTTGAATCCGGTAATTGTTTCAGGGGTGTGGCTGTAATTACCAATACCATAGACACCTTAAAGTTATTTTAGCATAGTTTAGGGGTGTAGCTGTAATTTTCCCTATTTTTTTTATTTGGACAATTTTTGAATTATTATATTTGGCTAATAACATTAATAAAAACAGCTACACTCAAAGTAATTTCACTTTAGGTATTTAACATAGAGTTTACAAAAAAAAGTTTATTTAAGAGCAACTCCAATTGATTATCAAACATGCTATTCAAACATTTAATCACGATTTATGCACCTAAAAATACAAATTTTTAATTCATAATGGAGTTATCAAATGATGGTTCTATTTTGATAATTCACCTCTTGGGATGTAAACATATTTGCCGAAAATTGAATTATCAACAATGTAACTATCTAAACATGCAATCACAAGTTGACATGTGACAATCATAAATAAAACCACCCATAATCCTGGTTGGAGTACATAAATTTTAATCAATATTAAAATATTATCTCAAATATCAAATAAATATTTGATAATTCAAATTTGATATTTAGCATTGAAGTTGCTCTAACTAACACACCACATCAAACAACCTGTCTTACTTTTTCTTCCATTATTTTGTATTTTATTTTTAATATTTTTTTGCCTCTATCTTTTTTGTCATTGAATTTTTGTTTTATAATCACAAATAATTTAAAGTTTGAAATTGAAAATATTTTTAAAATTACTAGTGAATAATAAAAAAATAATCAACTTGTATGTTTAAATATCCGAAGAGGTGAATTATCAACATCCGTTAAAATAAAAAATTTCTATTTTTGAGTGCGTAAATGATGGTTAAACGTTGTATAATAACTATTTCCTCCTAAATAGGTATAACCACCACAAAAGCAGAGCAC